TTTTTTTTTTTTTTCAATTTATTTATAGAGTATAAAAAAAAAAAAAAACATATTTGTTTTTATTTGGTTAACATTTTTTTATAACACAATTGAAAAAAAAAAAAAAAAAGTAAAAATTTTTTTTTATTATAATTTATAGCAAGTGTGATTTTTTTTTAGACCCTTTACCACTGTTTTGAGTGGACAGCCATATACGCGGTTCGTTCTTTTGAAATCTAAACGCTGCAAAACGGTTCAATTGAAAAAAAACCATGGTTTTTTCAATTTTTTTTATAAAAATTTAAATTTAAGTGCTTTTCATTTAAAAAAAAAAAATCAAAAATATCTATTTTAAATGGATTCTTTTTCGAACATTCTCCATTCAAATCTTTTGCCATTAAAATTTTAATTTTTTAATAAAAAATTAATGAAAATATTGGTTTTTTTTAAAATTTTTTTTTGATTATTTTTTTTTTTTTTTCACACCGTCAATATTTTATTATTTTATTTTATTTTATTTTATTGATTTAATATTTAAATTATAATATTTTATAAAGCAACAAAAAAAATAAAATAAATAATATCATTTATTCAAATACTATTATTATAAATATATTTTTTTTATTTTTTTTATATCTGGTATAATTTCCAAATTGTGCCAGACACTGTACGGTTATAACTTTTTCTTGATTATTAACTATTTTTTAAGAGACAATGGAAAATTTTAAAATAATCATTTTTTTTTTTTAAGTATTATAAAATCTACCCAATGTATTATCTTTTTTTTTTTTTTTTTTTTTTTTGCTAATCAATAAATACAATTATTTTGGTAAATAATTTTTTTTTTATTTCATTTTTTTTTTTTTTTTGTAAAATCAACTTTTTAATTTTGTGGAGTCAACTACCAAAAGAACGAATTTATTCCAAACACTCTTTTGTTAAATTAAATATTGAAAAATATTTTGAAGATTCAAAAATAGTTTTTATATTTTTTATTTAATGATCATTTTATATTTTAATATATTAAATATAAAAATTGAATATATATTTATTTTTATTCAATTTTATTTTAATAAAAAAAATTAAAAAAATATATCTCGCATTGATTTTAGAAAGAAATCGAAATTTGATTGGGATAAATTAAGTAATTACTTTATTTATTAATTTAGAAAAAAAAAAAAAATTTATTAAGAAAATTATTTTTATTTATTTTATTTTTTTTTAAATTTTTTTTTAAAAATTTTTTTTTAAAAATTTTTCTTTTTTTTTTTTTTTTTTTTTTTAAAAGTTTTATTAAATATAATATTATACAACATAAAAAATGAATATTGACGAATTTTTAAATCACATTAAAACTAATGTTTTAGAGTATGGAATAGTTTATCAATAATAATAATATAGATAACAACACTTTATACTTATACTATTGTTACATAAATTTTAAATAGTGTTACCATTCCAGATACATCTATCATTCTTTCTGATAGAGATGGTTTCGTTTTAGGAAAAAATATAGATAAAAACTCAAGTGTAGACAACGTTGTCGATAGTTCACTTTTATCAACTTTTTCATCATGCACTGACCAAGTATGTATACTTGAAGATAATATTTTTTTATATATAAAAAAAAAACGAAAATTTTATATTTTAAAGAAAATATATATTAAGTCCTTTTTTTTAATATATTCATAGGCCAGTAAATTACATGCAGGTTCAAATAAAAGTATTGTTAGTTATTTTAATGATAGAATTGTAGTTCATATTATTGTTTCAAATGTTATTTTATCAATTGTCACTGACACTGACGCAAATGTTGGTCTTATTTTAGGTACTCAAAACGATTTAATTAGTTCATTAAAAAACCTTTCACAATCAATTCAAGTAGATATTCAAGATATGTAAATTTTTAAAGCAAAACCTAAATATATAAAAACAACAAAAAAAAAAAAAAGAAAATAAATAAAAAAACAGAAAATAATAATTAATTAAACAAAATTATTATATATATAAATTATATATATATATACATAAAAAAAATATATTTTTTTTAAAAAAAAAACTATTAAAATTTTATTTGTCTAATAATAAATATGTTTTATATATGTGTATATTCATTATTAATCTTTTTTTTTACATTTAAATGGTTTTATATATGTTCTTAATTATATTATTATATTAATTGTTATATTATTTTTCAATAAATATTGAATTTGTAATTTTTTGATTTAAATAGGTTGGTATTTTATGATTTAAATTCCATGTTAAAGTTTTTAAATTAAATAAAAATATTTGGTCAATAGATTCTTTAGTTAGAGGATTATTACCACCCAATAATAATACAGAGTCATTGTTATAGTCGAAAATTGTAGAGTTACCAGACATTGTCATTGGTTTAGGTAAAAGAGAAGATTGGTTTGAAAGGACTTCCCATTGATTAGAGTTGATATTGTAACGCTGAACAATGGATAAACACTGATTGGTTTCTGAATTAAAGCCACCAAAAATATAAATTTGACCATTATCTTCATCTAAACAGATACCAGAGGAATAGGATGGCACAGGTAGTGGTGCAAGAGTGTGAAATTGATCATTCTCTATATCATAACGTTCTACAGTCTCTACAGATTGTCTCGATATGTTACAGCCACCAATAAGATAGATTGAATTGGACTTTGAATGATAACAAGTTGCAATACTCCATAAACTTTTTAAAGCTGATGACTGTCTTGTAAATTGTTCTGTAATTAAGTTGAATTTTAAAATGCTTGTTGATCTTGGGAAACCACCAATTAGATAGATATTTTGTTTATTGTCAAATACTGATGAGTGTAAAAATCTACCACCTTCCGGTATCTCTAAAAAGGAGTGACTATGATTAATGTTGTTACTGTGGTTCACTATTTTCTCCCATTGGTCTTCTAAAATATTATATTTTTGAATTTTGGTTGGTGATAAAGATCCTCCAAATATATAAATGTGATTCTTTCCATCGAAATTGGCTGTAAAATCACTATCCATACATGTTATTGGTGATAAGTTTCTCCAAAGCTCGCTCTTAAAATCATATTTCTCTATACCATATTGATCAAAACCACCACTTATTTTGCCACCTATCGAATAAATATACTTATCTTTTTTTGGGGCTAGTTGTTTACGATATTCTGGTATTTCTTTAATTTTAAATTCTAATTTCCCAAATACTAAAGTTTCTTTTTCTAATTTTTTATTGATTTTATTATTATTGTTATTTGTAATATCATTGCTATTGTTATTATTAATTAAATTATTTGTATTATCTTCTGGTTGTAGTTTAAATTTTTGATTCAATTCTTCAATTGTATTAATTTCTTGATTATTATCTTTTAGATGAAAAATTTCAGAAATTAAAGGTGTAATTGGTTTTGGAGATTTAATGATTTTGGTTGTCGTTATATTATTATCTTGAAAGTTACCATCCCAGTCCCATTCTATGATTGATATTGGTTCTTTTAAAACTTGTAAATAGTCTGTTTGAAAACTAACTGATCTTTTTAATGGACTTGATTTTAAAGAGTTACTCGAGCTACCTATGTTTAGTGATGCAGATGAACCTGATAAATAATGACTTAAATTTGATTGAAAGCTAGCACTATGGGTTAGACCACCTGTTGTACTACCACCACCACTACCACTACCACCATTCCCTATTATTGTTTTCTTTTTATTTAAGTGTTCTATTAACATTGTTACTTTATCTCGATTTGATTCTAATTCTTGTTTGTGCGACTCTAATTCTATTGCTAGTTGTGTTAAAACCTCTACCTTTCTTTCATTTAAATAATTTATAATAGTATCGAAATCTTGACATATTCTCTTTTTACTTTTCATAAATGATTCATCGCATTCTTCCAATGTCTGTTCGCTTAGTTCTTTATAAAGTTCTAATTGTTCTAAATTATTATTTATATTATTAAGCCAATTGCTATTTTTATTTGGTGAGGTGTTATTTTTGTTTATATTACTATTTGGTGGTTCATTATTATTTTCTATACTATCATTCATAATCATTTTTAAAGTATATTATTATTATTATTTTTTATTATTGATAATGATATTATTATTAAAGTTTATTGGATTATATGATTGTTTTTGATATATGTGTGAAAAAAACTCTTTTAATAATTTTTTTAAAAAGATTTATGTTAAAATTTTTTGTAAAATAATAAAAAAAATTTAGTTGAAAATTATTTTTTTTTTATTTTGAAAAAAAAAGATTTCTTTTTTTTTTTTCTTTCTTTTTTTTTTTGTTGTGGTTATTTTAAAACCATAGCAACCTTAAAAAAATCTCTAGTAAATTTTTATAATAAATATATAAATAATACAAATAAAAGAAATAAAGTAATGTGGATTAAAAATCATAAAAAAAAAAGAAAAATAAAAAGAAAAATAAAATTTTTTTTTAACCCCCACACTTTGAAATTTTTATAAAAAATCTTTTGGAAAAAAACAAAAAAAAAAAAACAATAATGTGTGTATATAAATAATTATAATTTTAAAGTTAATTTAAAATGGTTTTAATTATAATATTAAAATTAATTAAATTGTTATTATAAATAGTGATTAACACACATAAATAATCAACCTTCTATTTTTAATTTTATTTATTTGAATACATGTTATTGTCAATATATATTTTTACTATAAATTGATTGATTGATACCCACCCCAAAAAACAAAATCTATAAAAATATTAGGTATAATAAGTATTACCAAAAAAAAATAAAAATTTATTAAATAAATAAAAATATTTATATTTATCTCTTAGAGATTTTTTATATATGTATAGTATAAATTTACAATAAACTAATAAGAAATATATTCATTGTTTTTTTTTTTATTATTATAATTTTTTTCTTTATTTTTTTTTTTATTTTTTTTATTTTATAAAGAATAAAAAATTGTTATTGTTATTATCTATTGGTATTTATTATAAAATTTAAATTAATAAAATTAAATTATATTAAAATATTTGAATTTTTCATAAATTTTGATAATTTGTTTAATGGATTCGTTGGTGATTCGACAAATTTAGAAAATGCATATAATTCTTTATCTGGTAAAATTACAATGTCTTTTTCTAAATAGGTTTGAATATTTTTATGGGTGCTAAAACTATAGTATGGATATTTTTGATAAAACTGTACTTCAGAGAAAACTGAGGTTAAAAGATTCATCTTCTTAAAGTTTACATAGTCGTTATCTAAATAGTTTGAATTACCATCCTCTATGAAATTGATATCTTGAAGGAAGAGACCAAGGTATGGAAGACTTGGAGTTTCTTTAGTTTTGAGTGCTTGACGATAAGTTTTCCAATTTTCATCAGTTTTTAAAAAGTTTTGAAGTGAATTAAATGAGTTGGTGTAACGTGTGGGTAACGATTTCCAAGTTTCCTTTAGACGTGATACTGCACTGTTACTAAGACCCGAAATAATTTCCATTAGTGTATTAAAGTTATTAATCTTTTTACAATGTTCTGCTACAGAGATAAATCTTTTTAATACTTCAACACGTTTCTTTGGATGTGGTGTTGTTACAACTTCTGTGGCTACCCAATTGGCGATCTTATTTGACATTGTAATTAGTGCCATAATGGTTGGTGAGTTTTCAAATTTACTCTTACTAATGGTCCATGATTTATGATAAAGCTCTTTCATTCTAATATCTTGGAATAATTTAAATTCTAATAATGTTAATTGTTTTGCAATATCTTGTGGATGATAGTCCATAAATGATCTAGAATAAATTTCTTTATTAATTGAGTTGATTGTTGTCTAAATAAAATAAAATATAAATATTAATTACATATACAGCAAACAACCACTAAATAAATAAATAATCACTTACATTTACAAAAAAGAATAATTCTTCTTTTGAAGATTTACTATTTGAATTTGAAGATTGATTTGTATAGCCACCTAATGAACCAATAACTTTTAGTTTAAATAATTTCTTTAAAATTGCACTTGCAGTTGCATTGCCTATTTGTAAATGATTCATTAACCATTCCATCATTGTTGACATTGAAAAGAATGAGTTTTTAATATTTTTAATATCGCCACTGTTACTAAGACTATAATTACTCGAGCTGCCTCTTGGTTCCAATGATAATAATAGTTCATCTTTTAATTTTTCATAAATTTCTAAAATGGGTATCTTTGATACTCTTTGTCTATCGATTGCATCTCTTAAAAATACTGAATTTGGTGAACTTTCAACTAATTTCATTAATCTTTTATATAAACCTAAATCTTCTTCGAAATCACTAAAATTACAATCTACCCAAACTGAAAAAATAATTATTACACTTCAAACATGTTAAAAAAAGAATTACAATATTAGTATTTTAATATAGTCAATAGTATTATAAAAAATTATATTTACTTTTGTTTTATTCTATCTTGAATTTCTTCAAATTGTTTTGAAACTTTAATTGAAGAGGTGGTTTGAACTTTTGTTTCGTATTTAACTATAAGGTAATCAAATAACTCTTCTGGTGATATAAAATATCTAAATGATAAAATAAAGCTATTTACATAAGAGAAATCTAATAAAGGTATTGGTTAGAATTTCGCTTAATAAAATAAAAAATAATATTTTAGTGAGTACTTACCAAGTTTGTTTTTATTACACAAATATTCAACTAGTTGATCTTTTGGACCCGATACTACAACAAATTTATTTTCATCATTATTTTCGTATACGATTTTATTGGTTGGTTGTGGTCCGGTGGTTGATGAAGTCGATGTTGATCTTGATTTATTGTTATTGTTATTACTTGACTTTGAGTTGTCTACACTATCGCTGCTTGATGATAGTGTGCCAGATACAAGTTGTGATGATGAGAGGGATGATGATAGGCTAATTGAAAAATCATTTGAAAAACCTAATGATCTACTAGTGGGTCTTGGTGGTACCGGTGGGCTTTGATTACCTGTAGAGTAAGTTCTTGGTGATGGTGGGGGTTGAGAGCCTGGTTTAAGATTATCGGAACTATTATTTAATTGTGAAATTGGTACACCACCACCTTGAACTGAAGATGATTGGCTTGGATTATTTGGATGATTCATTGGTGGTAATGGTGGTGGCTGCGATGGTGGTCTTGAGGGTGTACCACCGGAAGAAGAGTCAATAAAACTACCTGTTCTACTTGATGATGAGGATAGGGATGATGTGGTTTCACTGCTATTATAGTCGGTGAGGGCGATAATACTATTAAGTTGGTCTATTAAATAAGATTCATATTGGTTTTCTAATGATGCTTCATTGTGAATATATTGATCGACTTGACCCTGTTCATGATCCAAGGGTTTCTTTTGAAATGGAATATAATCCCAAGAGTTTAATACCTCCATACTATTTGCACGACGTCTTAGTGGTCTTGAATTACCCAATAGTATTTTACGTCTATTTTCAAACTGTTCAGATCCAACCGCCACAGTGACACCTCTCCTTCTATTTTGTTTACCACCACTTGGTGAGCCACCTGGACTAAATGGATTCATTGGTGAACTAACTGGACTGCTGGGCAAGCTATTACTTCCGCCACTATTCACTATGATTCTATTGGGTATACCATTTACTGGTAATGATGATGTCGATGTGGATGATGCTGATATTTTATTTGGTAAAACTCTATTTGAATAATTATTTGTAGCTGTCGATGGTGAAGATGTCGTTTGTCCGTAGGGATTATAATGACTTTCATTTGTCATGGTTTTTTGTAATGATGATTTTTGCCACATTTTTATTTGTTTTTTTGTGTATTTATTGTATATTTTTTGATTATATTATATCTGTGTATTTATTTATGTGTGTATCTGTAATTACAAAATTTATTTTAAAGAAAAAAAAAAAACAAAAAATTTATAAAAAAAAGAAAGATAATATTACAAGATTGTTTGTTTGATTAATCAAAATTTGAATTGTGTGTCAATGTAGATAATGTGTGGTTGTGTGTTGTTTTAATTTTTTTTTTTACAAAATTTTTTTATTTTTTTTTGAAATATGTACAATTTTTTTTATTTTATTTATTTTAAATAAAATAAATAAATAATTTTTTTAAAATGATTTAATTAAGAATGAACTTATCTGAAATTACTCTTTATTATAATGTTCTATTTATATAATCGACTTAAATAAAAAAAAAAAAAAATCTTAATAATTAGTTTGAATCATTAAAAAAAAGATTATATATGTGTGTGTGTTTTATATGATTTAAAAAAAATAAAAAAAAATAAATAGTTGTGTTTAAAATTATTTTAATTATTTTAAATTATTTAAATTATTTTAAAAATTATTTTTTTTGGAGAGTCTCTATGTAAAATAATAATTCATGCTGAAAATTTGAGAAGTGTTGTTGGTTGGTGGTAGTGGTTGTGTGATTTAAGTTTGTGTGTTTTAATTTTTTGGTGTGTGAGTATTGGTGATAAATATCAAAGAGCAATAATTATCAGTAATAATAAAAACAATAAATAAAATCAATAATAATTGAGGTAAAGATTGATTTGGGTATAATAACTTCCAAAATTAAACACCAATAATATATTAAATAATATTGCTATTTTTAACTCTATGTTTTTTTTAATAAGTGATTTATGTTATTAGATAATATTGAAGTTTAAGGTGGTGAATTTTTTTTTGTGTGTATGTTTGGATGTGTGTGTGATTGTGTGATTTTTTTTTTGAAAAAAAAAAAATAATAGCTTACTTTATTTATGTGTGGATATTGCGAATAGTGAATGTTTTAAAAAAATAAATCACGGGAATTTTGATAAAAAATTCCACAAGTTTTTTTTTTTGACCTTAAGGTCTTTTTTGGAATACACATACAAAGATAATAATTGGTTAATTATTATTTTAAATAAAATAAAAAATAAAAAATAAAATAAAAAAAATTTAAAAAAAAAAAAAAAAAAAAAAAGAAAAAAATTTTAATGAAAAGTTTTTATAAAAATATCTTTTTTTTAAAATTTTTTTTTTTAAAAAATAATAAATAAAAATTAAATAAAAAATAATAATAAAAAATAAATAAAAGTATTATTTTATATTAATAACCAACAAACAAAATTAAAAAAATAATAATCTTTAAATAAATAAATAAAAATAACTAACTAAAAAATTATTAATCACATTAATTTTAATTTTTTTTTTAATAAAAATGAAAATTTTTGAAAATAATAAAATATTATCCAATATAAATTATAACTATTTTTTATTAACATAAATTTATAAATAAACAGAAAATATTATTGATTCATTCATTTTATTTTTTATAAAGGATGATTTTTTAATGGAAAAAAAAAAAGTTAATTGGTTTTAAAACAAAAAAATTTAAAGAGAACAATGTTTGGATAAATATATTTAATTTACAAATCAAATATATTTATCAGGTTAAGTTCGAACATATTAGGTAGGAGTTAAATTAAATAAACAATTTTTGTTTATTGGTTTTTCAAAAAAAGTTTTTAAAAATGTCCTCATTCATAAGAATAAATAAAATAGCATCTTAATTCAGGGGTAGAATGCAAGGCCCATAACCTTGAGGTCGTAGGATCGAAACCTACAGATGCTAAAATTTTAGAATGTTTTGATCTTTCCGGTGATATTAAAGATAATATCTGTAATGTAGTGTAAGGTACTAAGATCAAATAATTAAATCCAGTCTCAGCAAGTTTTCCGAATCACACACGAATTGACGTTACCGTGCCCAACTTGTATGCAGTGTGGTAAAACTCATATAAGCATTAAACACATACCAAACACAATAAACTGATGACTTAATATATCATTAAGAATCATCTTCACTTTTAAAAAAAAAAAAAAAAAAAAAAAAAAAATAATTAAATAAAATAAAATTTATATGAAATGTTTATGTTCACTGCTGATTACAAAGAGGTACTAAACCATCCCGATAAAAATCTGAAGGAAGAAAGCCTAAGCTTATTAATAATCAGCATCAAATCTTTACCAAATATCAACAGTTTAGAATATTTTCTTTAAATACTTTATAAAAAACATTAAATAAAATTTTACTGATTAATTAAAAGCATTGCTTTTTATTATCTTCACTTTTAAAAAAAAAAAAAAAAAAAAAAAAAAAAAAAAAAAAAAGCTTATTAATAGAGTCTCTGGTTAATCTCAACAATCTGCACGATATAGATTACAAACTAACCAGAAACACTTTCTCACACAGAAATGGTTCGGGTGATAAACGACTAGATAGAATCTACATAGACAAAAGACTAATAAACCCATCAAGCCAAAACCTAGAGATTAGATACACATCTTACTCCGATCATAAAATCCTCTCTACTACCATCAAAGTAATCAACTGTTCACCAGCTCCTAAAAAGCCAAGGTGGCTATCACACTACTTAAAGCCCACCTCAAAGCCATATCAACACCAGTCAATCTAACAAATTTCAAATTCCAAAACCTAGAAAATCTAATGAAGGAAATCATCGTCTTTTACAAAAGACACCAAATGGAATACCTGAATAGAACCCAAGTTCAAATTAACAATCTTAAAAAATTAATGCTCCACCCAGATTTAGCAAATGAAGCTGAAGCAACTCTTTTCTCTATAATTGAAACTAAGAAACTTGAAAATACATTCTACAATGATCTAACAAGATACACACAAGGCGAAATACCATCAAGATACTTATCATCAATTCTCCACAAGAGATCGAAGCAAAACCAAATAACAGCTATTAAAGACGATAATGGAACAACAATAGAAAATCAAAAAGCAATTGAGAATGAATTCTTAAAATATTTTAAACACTTATACTCAAAAAAAAAAGATTGCTCAACAACTCACAACAAACTACTAACAAACTGGATAATTAAAAAAGATGAATCATGGGCTGATCTCGGCTCACTATTCACCGAATCAGAAATTAATGATGCTATCAAATCATCAAATCCTCATAAATCCCCCGGACCAGATGGTATTACAAACGCCTTTTTTATTACACATAAAAAGCATCTAATACCAATACTTAAGTCAGCGTTCAATGATGCTCTTAAAGATCCCTCAACTATTTCAGATTCTTTTAAACAAGGCCTAGTTATCACTCTTCCTAAAAAAGGAGATCCACTTCTAATCAAAAATAGAAGACCAATAACACTCACCAACAGCCTTTATAAAATTTTTATTATTGAGTAATGATCCTTGTTCATTACAGTAGATGGAGATACTAGGGGTGAAATAATGTAATGTATTATCATCAAAATTCACTTCATTTACATTACAATAAAATTTCGACAAGTGTTAACATCATATAAATTCTTACTTTTTATAAATTAAGTTTTATCAAATAATTTTAGCACTGTCCAACAGCGCCTTATCAAAATATATAAAATAAATATTATTAAATATTATTAAAAATAAATCATTATTGTTATCATAATTATAATTATGTGATTGATTGATTGTTTTATTAATATTATTTATTATTATGATTATCGATTTTGCATTAATATTATTAATTTAAATTAAAAATTTATTATATTTTATTTTATTGAGATATTTTTTTTTAAAAAAATTTTAGAAAATATTTTTTAATTAATTTATTTTTTTAATTTTTTTTTTTTTTAAAAATAAATATTTGTGGTGATTGTATGATTATAATGGAACAATTTAATGAGTAGTGGGATTACTAATATTTCACAATATAAAATATCACACTCAAAATCATAATTCTGCAATATAACACCATTAACGAAATGAATTTATACTTAATAATTACCACAATTTTAAAATAATTTTTAAAAATCTAAAATCTTTTCTTTTGTATTTTTAAGTTTTGTAATTTTTTTTTTTTTAAGTTTTGGTAAAATTTTAATTTAAAATTTTTTTTTTTAATACCTTTTTTTTTTATATTAACAATGGATAAGCTTCTAAGCAAGATAATAGCTCTCTCAGATGAATCTTTCGAGATAAATGAAGAGTTAAAAAATAGTAGTAATATTAGTGATAGGTAAGTACAATACAATACAATACAATACAATACAATACAATACAATACAATACAATACAATACAATACAATACAATACAATACAATACAATACAATACAATACAATAAATATAAATAATAGATAAATTAAAAGCATATTAATTGGTGTTTTATCTTTTTAACTATTAATTATAGATTATTATATAATGTTTTGAATAATAAAGTAATAAGAGTTGAAATTTATAAACATATTTTAAAGTTTATTGAACATAGGGTTGTGGTTCATGATAGATCACGTTTTGACCAGTTTACAGATAAATCATATATAACAAAACTTAAGTGGTGTAGTGATCCACTACCAGATACAAGTGAATTTCCACCATTTTTGACACATTTATATTTGCACAGGTTTTCTAAAAGGTTAACTCAAACTTTACCAAATACAATTACTACACTTATATTCGGTGATGATTTTGACCAAATTATTCCACACGGCACATTACCAAATAGTCTTACAACAATTACATTTGGTTCTTCATTTAAACAAGGTCGTAATTTTAATTCATATTCTAAATTTAACAAAAATTTTGGTACATTACCAAATAGTCTCACAACACTCACATTCAGTGATAACTTTAACCAAGAAATTCTACCCGGCTCATTACCAAATAGTCTCACAACCCTTACATTCGGTCATTGTTTTAACCGAGTAATTCTACCCAACTCATTACCAAATAGTCTCACAAAACTCACATTCGGTAATGATTTTAACCAAGAAATTCTACCCAACTCATTACCAAATAGTCTCACTACCCTCACATTTGGTCGTCTTTTTGACCAAGTTGTTCTACCCAACTCATTACCAAATAGTCTCACAACACTCACATTCGGTATGTTTTTTAACCAAGTTATTCCACCCTGCTCATTACCAAATAGTCTCACAACACTCACATTCGGTTTTTATTTTAACCAAGTAATTCCACCCGGCTCATTACCAAATAATCTCACAACACTCACATTCAGTTATCGTTTTAACCAAGTAGTTCTACCCGGCTCATTACCAAGTAGTCTCACAACACTCACATTTGATTCTTCATCTAACCAAGTAGTTCTACCCGGCTCATTACCAAATAGTCTCACGACACTCAAAATTGGTGATAAAATTAACCAACTAATTCCGGCTCCTTACCAAATAGTCTAAATATTAACAACAACAACACAATAATAAGATAATGATGGGTCGTTTGATGAAATTGATTATTTTGACTGCGATAGAAAATGCTATCAAACTCCTATCTCCACCACAAACACCAAAGTCACCATCGCTATCACAAGATCAATATAAACAAGAAGAGACACTTGATCAACAACAAGACTCATCATTATCTTATTATTGTGTTGTTGATCAAGTGTCATCACAAGAATTTTTAATTTAAATCTTTTCAAAAACACAATAAAAAATTAAAAAATGTATAAAAAATAAAAGAAAAGATATTTTATATATTTGTTGATTTAATTAAAGTTGAATACTTATTTCTTTGGGGAAACTTTAATATTTGAGTTTTATTATTATTGCTCGGCCAGGGCAAAGTTATTGAAATTCATCAAATATATGCTTTGATTGGTTAACCAACACTTGAACCAACAATGAATCCATTACAATAACTTTTGACTCAATTTTACCCTTTATTTAAACCAATTACATATATAATTTCTTTTCTTAAATAACTATACTAGTTGTGACCTAATTTCAAATTTAATTATAAAAAAAAAAATGTAAAGAGCTACTTTTTTTGCTGGATTTTTTTGGAGTGTCGAGTATTGATAATAGTTCAAACTTATTTTTATAAAAAATTTATTTTATTAGATTATTTCTAAAGGTTTTTTTTAAAAGAACTGTTTTTTAAAAAAAAATTTTCTTTTATTTTGTTATTGTAAAAACGGTTCAACTTTTGCCACATATTAGTTATTTCAAAATATAGTGGGAAAAAAGTAAAAAATTTGGTGGGTTTTATGTCAAAATTAAATTTGCGCAAACTTGGTTACTCTAGCAACATTAAAAAAGAACTGGTTTAGATAAGGAAATGCAATCAGAAGGTTTTAAATATAAAGACTCCAGTTTTTTGGTTGATTAAATTAAAAATAAAATAAATAAAAAACTTAAGTGGATTTGCAAATCTTCTTTTTTAAAAACAAAAAAAAACCATTATATTTATTAGAAAGTTATCTCAAAAAAAAATGAACTTTAATACTTAAAAATACTGACTTAAAACTATCTTTTTATTATATATTATCTGTTAATTTTTATAAAACTTAATTTTTTTATTCCACAAAATCTTTTTTAAATCTATTGAAAATTTATTCTAAACCATGAATTTTCTTTAAATCTGCAATAGTAAAGCCAGCATAGTTTCTAACCCATTCACGTGCATTTGTATTAAAGGTTTCTTTGTTGTCTCTATAGACACCAGCTTTGACTACATCTAATGGATCGCTTTAGATAAAAAAAATTAATATCTTTATTATTTATAAAAAAGCATATAAATATAATTATACTTACTCTGGGTTTGGGGTTGTTAGTAATGATGAAATTGATAATAAAATTTTTGAGATGGTTAGTGATGGAGTCCAGCAATCTTTTAAGACATCTAAACAAATATAGCCATCGTTATTAATATTGCAATGATAAACCTTTGTTATGAAACGTACTGTCATTGGTTTAAATGGATATTCATCTGGAAAAGTAACACTTAAAACAAACAAACCTTGTTCATATGGTGAGTTGGATGGACCCCTTATAATTACCTTCCAAGCAGTTAAATCATTTTCACTGAGGAATACTGTATATGGTGAGTTCTTATCATTTTTTATTTCTTCTTTGAGTTCTTGGTATTCCTTGAAAACACGTTTTCCTGAATATGATTTTGACATACCTGAGGATTCAATAGCAGCAGTATCAACAGTGGACTTGCAAATGATTGATGGAGAGAATTTGGCATCGACTTTTCTTTCAATTGTTTTTTTAAAATCACCACCCAAACTTTCTAATTCAGTAATATTTGAAACACTTATACTGAAAGGTTTAAAGTTATCTCTTAGAGCTAATGAAAGTAAAGCCTCTCTTTCGAACAATTCAACACCTTCTTGAGATGAATCAGCGATAAAACAACTACCACCAGTTGCAGTGGAAAGAGCTGATAAACGTGAACGACCTTCTAAACCAATTGGAATACAATCCAAAACAACGTTGTTTTTCTTCAAGTAGTCGTAGGCATCAAGCATTGTAGAGCTATTGCTATTATCTTCACCATCTGATAGACAAAATACTCTGCATAAAAGTTTTTCAGGCGCAGCTAATTTGATATTTGGGTTGTTTCTAAAGTCAACAATTGTTTTTGCAGCTAAAATAATTGCTTCCCAAAGATGTGTATTTCCCATATTTGCTTGAATTTCACCCAATTCATTTGAAAATGAATCAAAGTTACGAGTAATACCAAATGTTAGCTGTGCTGATGAACCAAAACAAACCAATCCACATGCTGCTGATAATTCGTATGATACCATTTTATCAATAAAAGTTTGAAATATGGCTTGTGCAAATTCGATTCTTGTCATTTCTAATTCACCAGGTACCTTTGATCCTTTAAATGCTGATAGTCTCATTGACCCCGATAAATCTAATACAATCATATCTATACAATTAATTGTAACATTTCCATTTTGATTTTTTATTTCATTATTATTAACACTACTATTATTATTATTATTAATATTGCTTGTACTATTTTGGAATGTTGTTATTGAAACACCAGCATTACCACTATTAGTTTCAGCAATAGTTGTATTATTTTCTGGAATATTAATATTGCTCATTAGATTATTTGAAGATTTTAAAAGCAATTCCATATTGTCATTGATACCAAGTTCTTCTAGGTTGTCATCTTCGTAGAGCTCTGCCCCATTTATCTCCAATGTATAGGTGTCATTTGGTAAATTTGATCTTTTACATATCGATTGAATTAATTCTTTGATGGTTATTGTACTTTTATATGGAACACATATTTTTTTATTATTACTAAAAGTTATTGTAATTGAAAGAGCCATTATATATTTATAATAAATTAAGTTTTTATTAATTTTATAAAATTTGATTTAAAAAAAAAAAATTATTTATATTTTTTTTTAAAATATAAAAAAAATAATTTTGTGGGAAACAAATAAGAAAAATATACAAAAAAAAAAAAGATATTTTTTAAATTGTGTTGACTGTTTTACAGTCATTATTGAGTCGATGGTAATAAAAATAACACACTCAAAAATAATTTTTTTTTTGTTTATTTTTTTCAAAATAATTTTTAAGAAAAAAATAATTTAAAATAAATTTAATTTACTAAATTTATCTTTAACTGATTGATTTTGTTCAATAAATTGGGTAATTAATAATTTTCTTTGATCTGAAATTTCATTAGAATCTTGACTTGTAAATTGGAAAGAACAATCTTGTTGGTAGAAATAAGAGAGAAAATCAATAACGGTTTCTTTTGGAGCATCAGAGAGAATATTGGAAAGATATTGGCATTTGATACCATTTGATAAAATTTCTTCAATTGATGATTCTTTAGCTGGAGCATCGGTATCGGTTGTATTATTATAGAAAACAAAATTTGACAAATGATGAATTGCAATTAAATATAATTTTGGAGCATAGTGACGGGTAGTTTTTTTGGATGCAAGAGCGCTCTTGTATAGAGTTAATAATTCTGTATTTGATTCAATTGGAATTAAATAGCCAGTATTACCTAATGGGAGTTGTGGTTCGCTACAAGTTAAATAGTTTAAGGTTGGGAATAATTCATTCCAAAGTAATAATCTATAACGTGCTGTATAGGTTTGTCTTAAAAATATCCAAATAAAACTAGAGAATATTTCTGATGCAAATGAAACACTTGCGAAATGTTGAACAAATTCTTGATAAAATTGATAAAACTTTTGACCAAAATAACCTTCAAAATCAAATTCGATAGTTGGTTTTTTAACAGGATCGATTTCCATTGCTTCACCTTGTTCTGATTCCTCTTGAGCTCTTTTTTGTTTTTCTTCCTCTTCTTGTTGAAGTTTTAAATTTGTGATTAAAACATATAATAAGTGTTTTAATAGTTTTGAGATTTCGACTTGTTTCCATGGTTCTGATCTTACCAAAAAGATTTTCATTAAAACTTGATATGTATTTTCTAATGGAATCGAGTGAATATACTGTGAGTTGGCATTATATAATGATTGAATAAATAATAGTGTATTTAAAATCAATGGTGGTGAGTCCATATCTTCATTCCAATCACTTTCTTGTTCATCAAAATAGTTTTGAGTATTTGCGTTATATAACTCTACTGATGATTGATATAAAAATTCAATTGGTAAATTAAACCAATCATATTTTAATGGTAATAATGAGTTTTCTGATTCGAATGATATAAATAAGTCATTTAATTGGTTTTCTGAATCATCTACCCTATATAAAATTTGTGAATATTCTAAAGCTATAATAAATATATTAATAAATTGTTATTTAATTTTTTATTTATTATTTATATTACTTACTTTTTGATGGGAAAAATCTATCATGATAAAACAATTTTAATACAACTGAGACTGATGAGGGTTTAAGACAACCGATTGCCTCTAGATAATCGTTTTGGAAGATTGTTGATGAAAACAAATCAAATATTAAAATATCGTCATTTGGCAAGAAAGTTGGAACAAGTGCCATTGCAGAGGAGTGGTGGAATTTGGAAAGATTTGGATCAAATTCATCGGTTTCGAAACGTAATTCATTCATTAGTTTTAATAAATAAAAGTAAAGATAAGTTTTAGATCTATAATTTGAAAGAATTAAATCTCTATCTTGATTGAAGAATGACTTTCTGTAATCTATTGTTGAGACCAACATTGAATGGAGATGATAGAAGAAATTGCTTTGATCCATATAGAAAATTAATTTACCAATTGATCTATTGATTTCTAAGCTTAATATTAAATATCTTGATACTGAAAGCCACCATTCAGCAACTTCACCTTCAAAGAAAAAGTTGAAATTAATTGGAACATTATCGTTACTATTTGCATAAACCAATGATAAAATCTTTCTTCTTGCATCAGAGTATAATGTGCTACCAAAAATTGAAGTAAAAGTTAAATTTGTATTGTTTTCAATTAAATCTAAGATATTTTTACTATTGCTGCTGCTATTGAAATGTAATTTTTCTAAATGGTTTGGTGGTAATATTAAAAGTCTATTTAATGATGCGAAAAATGTTGAAATAAAGTGTAGAACTGATGATGATAAACCCATTGATGATAATAAATTATAGTCTGATTCTTTTTCCCTGAAAGAGTGATAGACTACGCCAATAGTTTGAAGAATTATAAATGATGGTTCGATAAAGTGAGAAATAGAGTCATAACATTCTAATTGTTGTCCATTAACTACAGCTGGCATCATAATATCCAAAAGATTATAAATGGTTCTAACAGTCTCCATAATATGTGAATCTATAATGTTTTGGAAATTATTACTAAACTTGATTGGTTTGTCCATATTATTATTATTTAATTCATTTTTGGTACTTTCTTCACCTGTTGGGTTTGATGATGGGGATGGTGATGGTTGAACTTTTGATAAATTGAAAGCTTCATGATTTAAAATTTCTGTAAACTCTGAAACATAACGAATTAGCACTGGTAATATATCTAAAAAGTAATCTTCAATTTGAATACGATAAATAAACCAAATTCTAAATAATTTTATATATTCCATTAAAACTTGATTATCTTTACAATTCATAAATCTTTCTTTAACTAAATCGAATAGGCCAGAGGATGATACTGTCATGCAATCGGCAGCATGTTTGGATGATTGGGAGATTCTTCTTAATAAACGGATACATTTAATTTGAATATTCTTCAATACTTTGATTAGTGATTGTTCATTTGCATCCAGTTGTTTTTGAGGTGAAGATTGTATAATATCTATAATTTGGTCAAATTCTACCAAACTGTTTTTAATTGTGTTGAAAAGATATTCGCAGTCAATAAATAATTCTTCGGATAATTGATTTGAGTGTCTGGTAATACGGATATAGATATCTAAAATTAAAGATAAACGTGATAAGAAGCTCTTGAAGAATGGGTCTTGTGACATGGCTTTCAAATCTGATGACCTTGCTTCGTTATCTAATAAATATTTAAATCTATTTGATAAACCCATATCCACTAAGCCTCTAATCAAGTCATCTTGACATTTTTCATCATCATCTTTTTCTGGTTCTTCCTCTTCATTTTGGAAGAGTTTTTTATTTTCTTTTGCAATTGGTTTTATTGATATTGTTTCATATGATCTATGACTACGCAATTCGATCATTTCATAAGCATTCTCTTCAATATTTGGAACAACTAATGCATGTAAACATGTTAGGGCTTGAATTAAAATGGATGGTACTTGTGAATCTATTGAAACTCTTAATAATCTTGGTACTTTTAAATTTAAAATTTCCTCAAATAATATTTTTTCTGAATAAAAATTATAAATGTTAATAACTGTTTTATTTATTTTATAACAAATTAATACTTACTATTAAATTTACCATAAGAACCATTTTGAATTTTTTGTATTATTAATGTTAAAATTTTTAATGCGATTGATTTTTGAGCATGATTCGAACTTTTAATTAACATTATAATTTCGTTAAGAGTGTACCCAGCCTCTGATGCTTCAGAACCATGATGGTGCAAACCTTCTGTAATTGGCTTATCTGATCCTCTTTGAATAATTTCACCTGAAAAACCAAATCTCCATTCTCTAAAGTTTGAAATTGTTTCTTTAAATCCAGATCTTTCGTCACTTTTATCTAAATCTTTCATCCACATTGTCTAATTAAAAAAAAGATTATTAGTAAAATATTTTTTAAAAAAATTTTTTTATGTATAATTACAGTTTCGTCAAATTCTGGTTCACTAGTTGTGGCTATAGTTGATTCAATATTATTGTCGTTTTCTTCAATTTCTTTAATTTCAATATCTTTATTAAATTGGACAGATTTTGGTTTATTTTTGTCGTTTTTGGTGGTGGTTTTGGCGGTTGTAGTGGTTGTGGTTGTGGTGGTTAAATTACTATTATTACTATTATTACTATTGTTACTATTATTGATATTATTTATAATATCATTATTATTAATATTAAATTTAACTGGTTTATTATTATTTTTAATATCTTCATTTAATTCTTTTGTGTCGATAACTTTAACTTTTGGCTCTTGTTGATCGGTTGGCTTTGGGGTTTTTGATTTGCTTCTATTTCTTAACATCTCAACAATTTTTGGATCTAAATGTTTTAATAAATATTCTTGATTCTCTAAAATTTCATTTGAGCTCATAGATTCAATCTTTCTATTGTTTTCGTCTTCAATATCATTTGAAATTGATTCTTCTTTGGTTGGTTCCATTTTTGATGAAAAAGTATTGTTGCTGCTTTGATTTCTTTTTGATGAAAATGACAAGAATGATCTATGAACAGCTTCAGGAAAACCAATATTCTTCTTCTTTGGTGGTTCGAAAAGTGCCTCTGTTACGTCTCTTTCATAAACACCTGAAATAATACTTGTAATATGATTATCTCTTTTTTCATTAAAAACATCTTCACCATAGTTGTATTCGATATTATCTTCATATTCCTCTACCATTGGTTGATCTTGATTATCATTATCATTGTCATCTTCGTAATATATTTCTTTTGGTTCCTGTGACTTCTTTTCCTTTTGTTGATTAATTTTAAACCTTGACCCAGATGTAATATTGGTTGTTTTTGCCTTTATATTATTAAAATTGTCACTTAATGAAATTACATCCTTTTCTCCCATAGGTTCATCTATAATTGGAATACCATTATTTGATATCTTTTGTTGCTGTTTAAATTTACTGCCTGCTGGTTTTAAAATTGGTGTGTCTCTTTGTTGTACATTATCATTAAAAGAAGATGATGATGATGCTGATGCTGATGTTGAAATTGAGGATGTGGGTTGTTTTTTTGATAATAATACTGGTGGTGGGGCTCTAGATACACTTGAAGATGGCTTTTCACCACTTTTTAAAAACTCTTCTTGTTGTTTCAATAACTTTAACTCATAGTCGTCATATTCATCTTCATCAATGTTAAATCTTTTATTATTATTATTCATTGTTTTTTATTTATTTTTATTATTTATTATTATTTATTATATAAAAAAGAAATAAAATTATTACAAATAAAAAAAAAGTATAAATTAATGAATAAATGAAAAAATGAAAAAAAAATAAAAAAATAAAAATTTAAATTATAAAAAAATTTAAAATTTAAAAAAAAAAAAAAAAAAAAAAAAAAATACGAAAAATTTAAAAAATAAATACTATCTTCATTAAAATTAATGAAGATTTTAATTATTAATTTAAATCGAAATATATATTATTTATTTAAATATAATTTTCATTACAAAAAATATTTCTTTGAAATTAAATTATAACATTTAATAAAATGCAAAAAAAAATTTTTAAAAATTTCCCTCCAATTTCTTTTTTTTAATGTTTTATTCCATTTTATTAATATATTAATTTTAAAATTTTTTATTTTTTTTTTCTTATTATAAAATATATTTTCATTTTAAAATGTCAATAGAAATTCCATCGCTATTCAGTTTATGTGTTGATAAAATTAATTTATATTTAAAAAATAATAAAAATAATGAAGATTATAATCACAACAATAATAACAATGACAATAACGAAGATGATAACGAATTAAGTTTTGAATTCAATAGAGATCATACACCGTTATCGATACTATTTAAAAATTGTTCATCAATTTTAATAAATAATAATAGTAGTGGTAATAGTAATAATAATAGTAATAAAATTAAATTATATAATAGTTTTTTAAAATCATTAATTGATAAAAATAAATTAACAATCGAACATCTTTATAATATTTCTATATCATTACCACTTCATTTTATTACTCATTTGGATCTAAGATCTAATGTAGTAAATAACAACCATTGTTATATAATATCAAGTAAGTAAAAAAAAATATAAAATTTGTGTGACCACACCTTTGATTTTTATTTACTAATTATTCATTATTGTTTTTACAAATAACCAGAAATTAAAACCATAAGATTTTTAAATATATCAAATTCAATTAATTTAGAAAATAAGTCAATTAAATATTTAATTAAATTACCCAAATTAATAAATTTAGATATTTCAAATTGTAATCAATTGGGAGATTCAGCATTAAAGTATATCAGTGAATTTCCAAGGATTGAAACATTGGATATTTCAAATAATATAAATATTTCAGATCAAGGTTTCAATTACTTGATGAACTCAAATTCCCTTAAAGAGTTAATCGCAAAATCAACACCATTAACAGATAATTCAATCATCGAAACCATTGAAGCCAATAATAAATATATTGAAGGTGAAATTATCCAACAACCATTCCCAAGCTTAGAAACACTAATATTAACCAACACGTTTATTTCAAATAGTTCTTTATCACTTTTCTTGCAACTTCAATCGATTTTATCTATCGACTTATTTGGTTCAAAGTGTACTATTGAAGGCTTCAATCAATTCCAAAACTCAGTTTTATTCAAAAAATCCTTAAATAACAAAAATAAAAAATGTATAGTTAACTCCACTTTAATGACAATCTACATGGATCAAACAAATAACAATAGTAATAATAATAATAATAGTAATAAAACCAGTGATAAAAATAATAATAAACTATGGCCAATAGATGATATAATCAACTTTATATTAAATTGTAAATTAAATAATAATAGTAATAATAATTGTAATACTAGCTTAAATACTTCAGTTTCATCATTGGATTGCAGTATTGATAGTTTAAACTCATCGTCAAATAATATATTCAATGATAAAAAAATTTATGATATAATAAAAGACGAACCATTCATAATAGAAACAATCCCACCATTCCCAATAAAGCCAATTAGTACAAGCGAAAGTATTTTAGATTTTTTAGGAAATAAAACCCCAACTAAAACACCAATAAAATCAAAAAATAATTATTCACCGACATCTCCATCACCCTTGGGAAAAGCAGTTACAGAAACCACTAAAAAATCAAATAAACAGCTTCAGTTTTCTTTATTAAAAGATCCATTTTCAAACTCACCAACTAAAAGAGAACTATCGAAAATACATCAATCACCATCACATTTAAATATTTACTCCAAAGTATCAATGAACCAATCATTCAATGAAGGTAGCACTCAAAAACTATTGTTTTCTCCATCAAAAAAAGCAAACAACTCTATCAATAACCAAATTTTTAAAACAATGGCAACACCTTTAATTTCACCCAAATCAGTTCGAAGATATGATTCAAAAATATATGATGATTTTATCTCAAGCGACGATGATGATGATGACACTGACACTGACAATGATGATGATGATGATGATGACATATCCGATCAAGAAAAAGAAATCTATGCCACACCTAAAAAACTAAAAAAGCCACCAAAATCTCAATCTATTAGCCCAAATAAATTAAAGTCAATAAAGAATAATAATAAAGAAAATAATATTGATAATAATAATAATATTAACAATGGATATTATTTAACTCCAACAAAAGGGGTTTCAAAAAAAAGAAAAAGTTTCCCACAATCAACAAATAAAAATAAAAATAATAATAATAATATTAATAATAATAATAATAATTGCAAAAAACAAAATACAAAAAAGAAACTAATATTTGATAAAGAAGATTAAAAACAATATTGTAAAAAACTCAATAAAAATTAATGTACATAAATTATCTTTTTTTTTTTTCCTTTTTAAAAAAAAAAAAATTTGTTTTTTAATATTTGTTTTCGAAAGAGATAATAATATGTGGGGGTGGGGTATTTTACAAAACAAAATGCCATGATTAAAAAATATAAACAAACAACATTGTTGTTCATTATTATTCTTCATTTAAAAAAAAAAAAGGGAGTGAGTGTCTACTTTTTTTATTTCAATTTTAATTATAATAAAAACAAAATTGAATCGAAAAAGAATCTTGTTTTTAAAAAATTCAAATAACATAAATAATTATTTTAATGTAAAAACATTATGATTTAAATCCCTTCCCCCCATAAAAAATTATATCATGTAATTGTTTTTATTTAATATTTTCATTCCATAATTTATTAATAAAATTCCCCCCCAGAATATAGAATTCCCAAAAAATTTTTCTTTTTTTCCAAGGTCCAATACCAAAATAAAAATTTTTAATAAAAATTTTTGTTTTTATTTTGATAAAATATTAAAATACATAGCTTAAACTGTGTTATAATCCATTTTAATCTAAATTATATCTTTTTTTAAATTTTTTAATAATCAAAATACAACATATCCACATTAATCTTCCTCATAAAGCTTTTTTTTTTTTTTTTTTCAATTTTTATTTTATTTATTTTTTATTTTTTATAATACATTCAAAAAAAAAAAATTATTTTAAAAAGGAAACAATATATAACAAATAAAAAAGTAGGTTAATATTACTATAAAGGGGGTAGTTATAATTAATAAATATATAATTTTTATAATAGAATAAAGAGTTTTTTTAAATTAATTATTATGGTAATTTAATATAATTATTCAACAGCCACCCCTACAATAACAATTGTTTTCCCACTCAAACAAAATACATTTATTTTTTTTTTTTTTGTCTTTTTTTTTTTTTTTTTTTTTTTTAATAAATCTACTTTGTGAAAAAAAAAAGAAATAACAACATCAAAAAAATTAATATAATATTTTATATAAATATTCACACACCTAACACCTACCAACACACACCAACACACAAATTAAAACAATATTCATTTTTATATACCAACATCACACTCATTATAATATTTTATATCTATACAAAAAAAAATATATATTAATACGCAACCACTAAATAAACCACCTTCAAAACTCTCAAAATATAAAAATAAATATAATTATATTTTATCATATTAAACAAAATAGTAATTTTTTTTTTTTTTTGATTTAATATTTTTTAATTTAAATATCACTATTATATCCATTTAAATAGTAATAGGAAATTAAATTATATTAATATATTTTAATTCTAATATTGTTTTTTTTTAGGTAAGAATATAATTATATTTTTTTTTTATTTTTTTTTTTTTTTACTATTTTTAAAAATAACTATTATATATACTAACGCAACTAAATCTACTTGAATATTTACTAAAAAATACAATCGAAATTAATTAAAACTTCAATAAAAAAATTATAATAGTATTAAAATAAATTTAAAAAAAAAAAAAAAAAAAAAAAAAATAACATCATTTTTTATATTTAAAATTATTATTAAATAAATAATAATTTAACTCTATATTTATTTATATAATATAAAATAATAAAAATCGAAAAATATTTATATAAATATCTATAAATCGAATCACATATACGAAATATAGAATGAAAAATAGTACTACAATCAACGAAGCGCCACCAATTAAAAAATGTTATTGTGATCCTAGTTTTGAACAGGAAGAGTCGACATGTAATCCAGCGGGATGTAAAACTGTATCAGCATTATTTGTATTAGGTTTTGCCATTATATTAGTATTCTGTATTTATCGTTTCAAACAACTCAGAAAACGTAAAGATAATAGATGGCCAATGTTTACACTATCTCTACTAACGCTAACTTGTATTGGTAAATATTAATAGATATATTAATAATAATAATAATAACAATAACAATAAAAATACTAATAATATTTTATATTAATATGTTTATAATATACAGCAAGAATTGCTAGATCTGTATTATTATTGATAGAAGAAAAAAATTTAATTATCATGGGTTTACTTTTCCTTTTACCATTGGGTGTATTAGTTTGCTCTTTTCTTAATACATTATACGTTTGGGTTAAAATTATTTTCCATTTTAACTTTTCAAAAGTTGTTTCAAAGATTTTCCCATTTCTAGGCAAAATCTTTATAGTATCTCAAATAATTTTAATGGTTTTACTCATAATTATT